TCTCCGCTCTCTTCTTTTAGTCTACCTCTCTCTCTCTCTCGCCTTTCGCCGGTGGGTTCCCAACAACATCGAACGTCAACCAACCGCAGTCGTTTTGCTTCCTGCTGTGTAAGGGGCTAACTGTGCATCCGGCTGTTTCATGTGAAGCGATGGGCGTTATGCCAAGGAATGGACTTGGGCCCTACCTAACGTTTGCTGCATATGCAGTGTTATGTGAGAGTTTCCAGCGGTCCAGAGCGAGCGGCGACCGTGGTTTTTCTATGCGCTCTTTTGCCTCCTCCCTGAAGCCTGTCGCGCCTGGCTCTTTCGTTCTCGCTTCTTCCTTTCTTACATTTTTCGTGCGTTGTTTTCTGGGGTCCCCCGGTTCCTGTGTGCTCGTCGGGCGTCTTCTTGGTGTCTACCTTGATTGTTGCCCGCTGAAAAAATCAAAGGCTTCAGACACGCGACGCGACGGTAGTCGTCGAGTTGCCAAACATAATTTTATAATGAGAGATGGGACGTGAAACAACGTATTCGTGATTGCCTCGTCGAGCTACGTTCATAGCTGCAGTTTTCTGATTTTGCGAAAATTCGTCATTTGTGGCCAAAATGACCATGGAACCCCTCAATGTATAGGGTACCCCCATTCATACCGCGGAACCCCCTAACCATACCACGAAACCCTCCAATTTTACGGCGGAACTCCCTAATTGTAACTCGGAAACCCCGTATAACGCCTCGGAACTCGCTTGTAACGCGACGGAACCCCCTAATGTTACCACGGAAACCCCTAGCTAGCTCTGTAAATACGTTTACTCCGCGGTATGCTATGCATATCAAGCACCACATCTTTTTGTATTTGTAAAGTCACACACATTACGTTCAAGTCTTATGCATGTTTACATTCTCTCACACATGTACGTCGCATCCAGGGGGATACCCAAGAACAACACACCGGTGGGAGCGACTGCATACTCAACACCAATGGTTAAATATCGATTGACATGCCAATGAAGTAAATTTCAATGCACGGGGCAGCCAAAAGCCACCAACGACCAACACGGATTTCAGTATGGCCTGGCCTCCGTGTGAGGCACCACCAGACAGAGTCCTCGCCGCGCCAGTCCTCGTCACGGGGATCATCATCCGGGACGATGTCCACGGGAGAAACATCTGACTCTAGGTCTGAACCGACGGGTGGTGCTGGTGGTGCTGCTGCCTGAGCACGTTGAGGGAACCGTCCATTCGTCTTCGACCGCTTTCGCGTCGTCACTCTTGACATTTGTCGCGGCATGTGTTGTGCTTGTGTGTGGCCACTGGTGTGCTGCTCTGTAGGGTAGTGGATGTGTGGGTGTGTGCGCGTGCGAGCTGTCTGTGCTTCTCTCACAGCGGCAACCAAATCACAAAATATCCCACGAAATTTTGTTTCCACGAAAAATCGGAAAGATGCGTCTTCTTCGGAATTTCGAGAGGAATCGTTTGCCGCACTCTATTTTTGTGATAAAAAGTCAAGGAATGATGAAAAAAAATCGCTCCGTTGATTTCCGCGCCTGCAGACAGGGCGTTTAACGGTGTTTTTGAAATTCGGAACAACCACCCCTTCCCCGAGATATGTGTACCTAAGTGCAGGGTGACAAAGTGGGCCGTAGGTCGACGAAGTTCAACAGCGGTGCAACCGACAACAAACAGTCCAACTTAACAACGAGGCCGGGAGAAAAATACAAACAGCGCTAAACTTCAAAAACTGGTCTGAATCTGAACGAACAGGATCGTAGAACGGATCAACAGCTTCGGCAAAACGCGGTATAGGCCTACACACGGATTGCCTCCAGGCTGAGGGCTCACGAGGTTGCGCCGTTGCCAATCCCGCCGCTCTCGTGGGACCAGAACCAAGTTTGTGTAGTCTCTCCCCCTCTGGACCCCCGTTCGCCGCGAGATATTCGCCTTACGGTAGCTGTGGGCCGCGAAGGGCCTTGCCCATGTGCGACTCGCTCTCGGGGCGGCCGCCGTAATGCGGTGACGAGGGGAAAGATTCGCGTCTCCAAGGTTTGCGATTGCTCCACCAATCACATCCCGGTTTATTATTAGTAATCTTGTCCGAAATATTTCTACCTTAATCAAATGACAAAGATCCATGCTTCCATGCATAAATCCGCTGCTGCTGTGAACGCAACCGCATTTAAATTGCACGCGCCGATGCCCCAACTGATGGCGGATATGCTCTCCATACAGTAGTGCTCCCGATCTGCTAGCGTAGTGCACGTGATCCTTTCTTTGCTGGCAAAACCCAAGCACACTACGATGCAGCAGGCACAGACGGGCGGGAATGGCCGCGTTTGCTGGGATCAGTTCGTATTTTTTTTGCCTCAGGGGCACAGGTTTGATGTGCCGACATCTATCCGTTTGTGACGCCGCGTCGTACCGTGTTGGATTCGTGAACATCAGTACACAACAGAAGTCTGGTCGTACATAGCAACTGACCCACCAATCGACGCTGTCAAGGTGCGAAACACGCTGCTCCAGGCAGCAAAGCAGCACCTCGACAGATACAGATCGCGCAATTTGTTCCTACTTGCGGAATACGTATGCTTGCATTCGAACGGATGGATCAAGATTGCTGCTCCGCACCCGCCGGTTTGAAGTGTTCTTAACCATCAGCTGAGGTCGGGCACAAGCCCTCTTCGTCGCGCCGTCGCATCTGCGTATGCGTAGACCTAAAGCACAGCGGCTCAGATAGACTACTGTGAGGTGCTAGCCCGCCCGCGGCTCGTTACCCCTTTGTCACAGCTCGTCACAACTCGAAGTTGTGTTCGGAACGAATATAGCTTGAATTTTTCGGCTCTTTCTCGTGTTCCGATCGTGTGCGTGACTGAGCTGGGAGCTGAATCCCTGTCTACAGCAGTACCAACTGAGTCTCCGTCTACAACAGTACCGAACCTGTGCATTTGACCCTGCACCGTCGTCTTCATTGAAGCATCAATGGACTTCTATCTCGAATCTCCAACTGGCAGGCGGAGAAGCTACCTCAAATATTTGCGGCCCGCACCATGTCTGAATGCAAAACATCCTCAATGCGGCCCACAGGAAGGAGGTGGCGTGATTGTTTTTTTTTATGCACGTCGCCACGTTGTTGCCGTGTTCTACTGGGTAGTACTGTCGCTCGACGAGGACGCTAGCGGGGACAACCTATCCCTCTCTCTGCAAGGTCACTGCCGCAAGCGCGCGGTTGGATCGAGACCCAACTCATCCTCTCGCTCCCTCCACCGCTAGTTAGCAACAGTTGAGGCGTACACACATCTCGTACACAAGTCTAGATGAAGACATGTAGAGCACAGCAGCAGTACATGCATCGTAAATGGTGGTGTCCATAGGAATGAGCGTTCTGTCCTTTCGTTTCCTCCGCCGAAAGCTAACCCCAGTAATATAGTGCATAGCCTTCTCCCGGGTCGCTCTCGCTGTCACCAGTACACAGCACAACAGTACTGCTTCAGTACCTTTCTATCCTCGTTCATGACGCGATCGTACCAAGACACAAACGGGACTTGACAACAATCAATTGGTAAAGCAGCCGTGGGCACACGGCAATCTATGACCAGGCCATTGATACATTCGGCAAGCGCTGACGTGGGGCGGGGCGTTTGTGCGCTGACTACACAACCTCGCCACACGCGGCAACCAAGCGAAGTTTGCGCATGATACGAAACAAAGCACCCTATTGCTGTAGCGCGTCTCCCCTTCGATCCCGTCAAAAAGCGCGCAGGATTGTGGCCGATGTCGTGCGCCCAGCACAGCAGTCTATAATCTGTAAACTACACCCGACTGAAAAAACAACTTTAAACTGCTGTCTCGTAGTGTGTAACGACCTGTCACAGATCCACCTTTGCGCTACATAGCGCAGTTAGAGACAGGCTCCGCACATTCCACTAACCACCAACGCACGAGCTTCCAGCGTTTTTTGACCCCCACAAACTCTTTGGCAGAACATGTTGCAGGACGCTGTACGACGAGTACTGTGGCAAGCTTGTTTGTTGTTACTTTCTCTTTTTCACTGCTCCGAACATGTACTGTACGTGCCGTGGTAGTGCTAGGATGATGAAAGAAGAGATAGTGCTGGATTTTTACTCTGTCCTCCGGACGTCGCATTCCCTAGTTATTTCATTGTGCATATCTGCTCTATTCCGATACATGTATTTTTTTTTTCTCTCGTTGCAAAAGTAAACCCGCGCAAACTTGACATTTCTGTCTGTTGGCGAAATTCTCAGACATGCGTTCGATTTTAACCCGGCGTTTTCTCAGACCTACGTTCGATTTTGACCCCACGTTCTCGGAATTCTTACCCGAGTCGACCACATTTCCGTTTTTTGCGTGGTTTTCGAGTTGCTGATCTCGTGTGTCTTCTCCAAAAGCAAAGTGTTTTTTTTGTGGATGTTCTGGAGAGATAACGAGAGATTTTCGAGTGTGGTCGTAGACGTGTGTTTTCTGCCCGCGTCCGCCACTCCAGCAAGTTTTGGCCATAAGCCTTTCGTCAATTTTCGATAAACTCGCCTTTCATCTGACTTGGTTCGTGATCTCCTCCGTGGCCACTCCGATGACACGCAATACAAGGCCCCACCGGTCATCTGTTCCATGCTAACTTGCCGCATTTCATTTCCACGAGGATTTTGAATTCAATACGTGAACAAGCGGGGGGTGGGGGGGGGGGGGTTGTACTCAATAGTCGTGCATGCCGTAGTCGTTAGACCATTGACCTCACACCTACCAAGCCGGGGCGGAGCACGCCTGGTTCTCACAGGACCAGTCCGCACATCACCAACCGCGAAGCGCCGTGAGATATTTGGCGAGTCGAATGAAAGGTGCGCTGCATCCTGCTAAGGGTGTTCGGCATCTTGTGCTTACTTCCTTACGTACGGATAACAGCTGCGGAAGAATTCATTTATTTCCTGGCGACGCCACTCCCAGAAAGAGTTGTAAGCACTGTGTAACTGCCTTGAGCGTGCTTGACCACTTTAACACAACGTGGCCCCGATGACAGACACCGATTGGGGGGGAGTACGTGAACGAAGGGCGGGAACAATACTGCGAATTCCCGAAAACCAGTGTGACGAGGTGCGGCAGTGCATTGTCTGTTAAGGGATCCCAGGCATGGGCTGCCCACCCCCGTCCGGTTCTATCCGTCGCGCTGTTTTTCACGGTCGACAGCTGCAGACAGCAGACCACTGGTCATCATGACCTATTCAACTTATCGACACCTCGGGGGCCTTTACTAATTGTTCTGAGACACGTGCAACGGCATGCAGGCAGCAGACCGCTGGTCATGACATCTATAACTTAATCTACACGTCGCACGCCTTGACTATTTCTTCTGAGACACGTGCAACGGCAGCAGTGCAGGCATCAACATACCGCTGCTGTACGCACGGTAACGGATACACACGCTGAGACGCACCACATATCGACTGATTTCCCAATTGGAAATTGGGGTTTCAGTCAGCGCTATCTTGGAAAGCAATACATGTTGTCCGAATTTCAATACATTAATCTCATGGAAGTTGTATCAGTTGCCATGCTGCGATCATGTGCAATGTGTGATTTAGTTTCTATGCTTGAATCAAATAGGTTTGGGCCGAAATTTCCACAGTCAGATTTAATGAAAATGTGTGATCGCAATCAATTCTTAGCCCACACTGAGTGCGTGTCGTAGACTGCTGTGTGCCACTCTGCTGTGGTAGCACGCATGCCCCTTTCTGGAGGAGGCACGCTGCGCCTGGCATAGCATACACGCACTGTGCACTTCCACCAGCACGCTGGTGTGTGCTTTTGCCCTGCTGTGTTTCCTACACTGCTGTGCCCACACTGCTGTGTCCCATTCTGCTGCATGCCCCCTGGGTCACAGACACGGACACAACCACGGCTTTGGATCAGCTGTGCGCGGCACATTCCAATCGAATCTATGTCTCTGCTGTCGATTGCAATCACCGTTAACCCTGTGCCTGATCCCCCTTTTTGGTGTATGCGCGTGGTCAGGCTGTTCGATGAACAATCGCACGAATTTTGTTTATCAGCTTTTCCGGTCGACGCGCCAAATCCTGTATTGACTTGACATTAGACGGCGAGAGGAGAACGCGGAATACTCGATGCCCCAACGAACTGGCTCTTACGGTTCAGTACACACCTGTGAACAGGACGTATGCGTGTTTCGGGGTCAGTTTTTCAATCGGCGGGTTCTATCCCATCAAACCCTCAGAAATCAAGTATTTTTTGGCCAAATTCACAGCGGCCGCGAGGGTGTGGAGCTTTCGCGAAAATCGCCACGGACAAAAACATAGCTACCGTTCTTTCGGAGGTGATACAAGAAACCGCCCCAGAATCCGCTCCGCGGACGTCTCTGAGTGCGAATCCTAAGATGGGATAGTTTTGGGGTGACGCACGGGTCCAAAAGTCCAGAGAAAGTCCCCGCCTCTCAAGCAAAAAACAATGTGGTGACCACACAACCAGCCGGTTCTGTGTCGACTGCCGGATCAAGGGCGCGGAGGTTCGCTGCCGTCTGCGGGGCGAGCATCTAGGAAGCGAGCTCTGGAGGGAGCAATGCTAGGGGGGAGGGTGCGAGGGGGTGGTCTGTCTGGGATTCGGGAACGGGGGCGAAGCAGGCGCGACGTTGGAAAAAGCTCACATTGTTGTATGGGATTGATTTTTCCGAGCGTTTTGTTTTCATTACTAACTGACTTTTGGGCGATATTGCTTGATCCACCACCGGCGCTACCTGCAGCTCTTCCTGCCGTTGCTGCACCGTTAGTAGCAGTTGTTTCCCTGCTTTCGTCGCAGTGTCTCTTGAAGCCCTTGAAGGGGCGCGAAGGGCAGCGACGGCCTCAGTTCCTTTTTGTACCATAGTGTAAAAATCAGTCCACCTGCTATTCTTTCTGGTCGGTGTTTGTTTCTCCGCTCATCATCTCCAAAGTTTGCACTGGCGCAACGACACTGCCACCGGCGCTACTGCAGCTGTTGCTAACGTTCCTGCACCACGAGTAGGAGCGGTTTTCTTATTTTCCTTGCAATGTCTGTCGAGCTCGTAGACGGGCAGTGACGGGGGTGGTCGTTGCATATCCGTTTGGGTGTGAAGTGATTTAGGGTGAGATCGCTGCCTCTTCCGTGTGCATGTGTGAGGCGTCGTTCAACTAACTTTTGGGCGACATTGCTTGACTCCACCACGGACGCTACACTGCAGCTCTTCCTGCCGTTGTTGCGCCATGAGTAGCAGTGACTTCCCTTCTTTCCCCGCAGTGTCTCTTCAACCCCTTGGATGGGCGGGAAGGGCGGCGGCGGCTTCAGTTGCGGTAATGTTGTAAAATCAGACCTACCTGCTCTCGCTGATCGGGTGTATTTTTTCCGCTCATCCGCTCGTCTCTGAAATTGGTGCAAACGGGCAACGGCTCTACCGCCGGTGCTACTGCAGCTTTTGCGTCCGTTCTTGTGGCATGAGTAGCGGTGGCTGTTCTGTTCTCTACGCAATGTCCCTGCGGCCTCACGGCCGGGTGGGAACCGGGGTGGCTGCAGCAGTCCCATTTCGTTGTCAACTAAAAAAAAGAACAGGACACACCACAGCCGATGTTCAGTCTTTTTGTTTGGTAAACTGACCTGGCTGCCAAAAATGCGGGGATTGATTGGCTATGAAATAAAATTTCCGGCAATATGGGCTGTTCGACAGAACATGCGCTGGACAGAAATTTGACCCAAAAACAGGGTCAGGCCCAGGTCTAACTTTGCCCGATGTGCATGCCTCTGAAATGCAGCTTCCACACGAAACGACAACGATTGGTGGGTAAGGCTACACGAATGGCGACGATTGTCCTTTTGCCGACAGAACTTGGGCGCGATCGCGGCTTGCGAACTTTTCTGTCACCATTTGAAAAGGGGCGTGCCTGCGTTCGCACCTAGAGCCTACCCATCTCTACGCAGTCACTCCCAAGATTCGCTACGCTTAGAGACCTAACTACCGCACTAGCGTCCTGATGACCTTACGTAAAACTTACCACCCATTGTGCCATATTGCTCTTGGCTCACTCATGCCTGTGTCTGTGTCTCGATAATATGCCCGCTGGCATGCGTACCATATTTTGTGTATTTTTCTGGGCTGACGTCCGCATGCCGTACGAAAATTAATTGCAAGAAGTGAATAGACGACCTGGAGATTTATTTTTTCGCCCGCATGCAGATCTCGTTGGCATCCGTCACTCGCACATAGAGCTCGCCCATCTTCACACCTCGGCACTCCAGACTCGTTACGCCCAGAGAGCTAACTATCACACGAGCGTCCTGATGATGTTACGTTAAACCGGCCACTCGTTGGGCCTTTTGGTTCTTGGCCCATGGTCTGTCTCGATCAAAACCGAAGCCCGTCGGTTGCCTTCAGTTTTCGAGATTTAGGCTGCCCGTCCGCACCCCATGCCTCCCGTACTCTAGATGCACATGCACCCAGCGTGCAGCACACCAGAGCACTGCAAGTGTTCTTGTCCTAGACAGTTAAGAAATCTACCGGAAGCCCTGGTTGTTGGCAGTATCACGTCAGCTTGTAAATACGTGTTTTTGTAGCTGACGCTATACTGCAATATTCTCGGGGATTTTTTATTATTCAGGTTTGGGGACGCAATATGTGTGTCGTCGCAACCCCAACCTGCACCGTCTACACTGTTTATTTTGCTTTGCACATGAACCTTCCACGATATGGCTGGGCGGCTGGAAAGTACATGTGGGGCAGCTGGTGCAAAAACAGTAGATTTACACGTGTCCAGGAATGACCAGCTAGTTTGAATTTTGTGTTCTGAGTTATTTTCACATCCAAATTCACCCTCACACATTTTCGTCAAATATCTTTATCTATCCGTTCGTGGCGCCGCGTTGTTTCCAAGAGGTTTTTTTACCATCGACAGCGTTAACCGGCTGTCCAATGAAAATACGTCAGTCTCAGTGCGGGTGAAAACAATTTCATTTCTAAATGCCATTAACTGGGAAACCGTGGGGGGGCGGCATGGGGGAGACCTATTCTCCGGATCCAAGACAGAAACGGTAGCAACAGACGAAGCACACATGTACGACGGCTGCTACCTTGCACTCGATTTCGTTTTGGGGCGCTTTCACCGACATCCTTCTTTCTTTCAGCTCCATCCATCTCACGGTCACTTTCATAGCAACTTCTCGACTGCTGCTTTGGTCTCTGTCTTGTCCTCCTCCCGTTCCCTCTCCTCCTGCTTCATCGCTGCCAAACGAGTTCCCGTCATTGCCCCCTGGTCGTTGCTGACTACACTACTACCGAGATCCCAACCTATTGGCCGGGGTGGGAACTGATCAAGAAGTAGTCCGTGAAGTTTGTAAAGATGGTAATTTTTGAATGTACCGGGACAGAGCTTTTGGAGTTTGTCTACGCGGGCGAAGCCCGGAAATATGTGTGAAACATATCGTATTATCCGCAAGCCGCACGCTTTTAAAATGTTGCACTTCTTCTATGAATCAATGAAGGAAATGAGACTCCAGCAAAGGTGTTGTCACCGCGACAGCAAAAAAATCACGGTGCAGATAAATATACTGCCATGCAGGTTTTCAACATACCAACTGATTGATGGTGATTGCTTTGGGGCGTTCATTCCCAACAGAACCTACAGATCGAGTCAAGAGAGAGAGCACAACTCAGAGGTGCCAAGGCATCATGATCACGTTGCTTACAGTGGCCTGGCGAGAGGACAGACGCGACATGAACAATCGGGTGTGCGGGCGTATTTTTGGTAGTAGCATCGACCGCGCTAACCGGCTGACCAATGAAAATGCGTCAGTCTTAGTGCGGTTGTAAACACAAAACGCTTCTATCTGCCATGAACTTGGACCCTGTGAGGGGGCGGCATGGGGGAGGCTAAACAATCCTCCGGATCGAAGACGGAAACGGTAGCAACAGAAGAATAGTGCACGCGTCTACCAAGGCTAATACCTTGTGCTCGAGTTCGTTAAGGAGTACTTTCACCATAATCCTCCTTGTTTCGCTACAATTATTCTGATTCTTATTTTGACAAAAATCTCTAGGCATTCTCCCCTAGTCATGCGTCTTTTGTGTTGGGGAAGGTCATCTGGCTGAAACCCTTCGCTCTCTTCCTGTTGGTGTGAAAAGGTTTCAGGCGAACTAAGTCTCCGTCATCGTCAAAATCCCCCCGGCAAAAAGCTTCGTGCGCCAAGTGGTTGGCGATACCAACAAAGAGTTCTGTGTGTGTGGGTGTGTGTGTGGCTTGAAGAAAAGCATCGACAGCGCAAACCAGCTGACCCATGAATGTGTGCGTGTGTGTGTGATATCCCTCCTCGCTGTTTCCAAGCTCTCTGGGTGCTGCTGCGTGCTCGTCATCGACACGATATACGAATTGACGTTGCGAAGTTCGCGCACACAGAGACAAGAGTGGTCTCTGCTGGGTTTATCCTGCTGTGGCGTGTGGTATACGCCAGTTGCAGTATCCAGTACCCAGGCTCGCGACTGAGTGTGTTGGTCTCGGAACTGGTTAGTTCGAACGTGGTGCGCAGAAAGAAAACGGCCTATGTAATTCCAATCCGTTCAGGATTAGTTTCAGCTACGGAAAAAAAAAAGTATAAGGAATTTCGACTGGAGAAAAGACAACAATAGAAAATTGACCGCGGCTGATTAATCTCTGCTCGCGACAGCTACGAGCATGAGAACGCGGCGGTGCCTTCGCGAGAACTACCCCTCGAGGGCTCTGTCGAAGGAAATTGAATCGAAGCCACA